CCCGCCCCGGGGCCCTGCCACCATCCCAGCCCCTGTCACCACCCGGGAGCTCTGCCCTTGAGCCCCAGCCCCTGCCACCACCCCTGGACGCTGCCACCACCCGGGGGCTCTGCCCTGACCCCTGCCACCATCCCCACCCCCTGCCACCACCCTGGGGCTCTGCCACCAATACTGGGGGGACTCTGCCCTGACCACCAGACTCTGCCACCAACCCCAGCCCCTGCCACCACCCCTGGACACTGCCACCACCCCTGGACACTGCCACCAATACTGGGGCTCTGCCCTAACCCCAGCCCTCGACACCATCCTGGGGCTCTGCCCCTGCCACCAGCCCTGGACACTGCCACCACCCTGTCCCCCACGCAGGGCAGGAGGGCGCTGGGCTGGTGGCCCCTACCTGGTGGCGATGAGGGGGTAGCTGTGGGTGGGCTTGCCCAGGGCGTCGCGGCTCTGCGGGAGGCTGCCGTACAGCAGCAGCTCCTTCTCGGTGAGGATGGCCAAGAGGTTCCTGGTGCCGGCACTGGGGAGCTGCAAGGGGAGGGGGTCAGGGCCACCGGCAGCACAGCGGTGAGGGGTAGCGAGGGGCATGGGCGTACCTGCTCCGTCAGCCAGCCCACGTGCTTGATGTCCCGTCCGGCCACTGTGCCAGCACCCGCCAGCTGGGCTCGCAGCTCCTCTTTCACCCGCGGCAGCAGTGCACCTGCATTGGCCTGGATGGCGCTGAGCCATGACTGCGCCGTGGCCTCGTCCTTCGCCCGCAGGAAGAGGGCAACACGTCCGTCTGCCGAGCACACCTCCAGGTACCTGCAGGGATACGGCCCCGCTGGGTTCCCGCCAGCCCTCAGCACCCCCGGGCACCGCAGTGGCATCGCCACCCCCTGGCACCATGCCCTGACCTGTGCTCCGGGTCGGCGGGGAGGCACTTGCGGGATACATAGCACATCTTCAGAGGCACAGTCCTGCCCTCACGGAGCTCCCGAGGGGGTAGGAGGGGGGACGACCGCTTCTGCAGGGCAGTGGGAGAGGGGTCCCAGCTGACTGTCGCCCCCGCGGAGGAGTTCTTGAAGTAGGGGGAGATCTCCTTCATGTACTTCACTGGAAGAGAGGCAGCACCCGGCTGAGGGCACAGCAGGGGCCACAGTGGCCTCCTCCTGCCCGCCTGAAACCCTTTACACCCTCCCTGCACTGGAGCTGGCACCTCTTTTGCCACCTCCCCAGAGCCATCGCCCATGGGCAGGACCCAGCACCCTGTGGGTGCAGGGAGGGGACAGCACCGGTGGGTGAGGTCATACCAAACAGATTCATAGAATCGTTTATGTTGGAAAAGACCTTTAAGATCATCAGTTAACTTAACACTGCCATTCCTAGGATACTCCCAGTGCCTCTGCCCCACCATCCCAGCCCGGGAGGTAAAAATGGCCTTTTCTCCATTTTTTCTCTCCTTTAACCCAGATCGACTCACAGATCCAAGTCAGATCGGGTCCCCAGGGCGGCACATGGGAGGCAGGGGGCGGGGAACAGGCAGGGGTCCCAGGCCAAAATTACACAGTCGAACCGTGCTGGGACAGGCGGTCCCACCGCCAGCTGGGAACAACAGCTCTCAAATAGCATGGCTTGGCACCAGGAAAAGCCTCGAACTGCGTGCTCGCAGCTTGCATAGCCCTGCCCCGTGAGTTATAAACCAGGGATGAGAAACCAGCTTTCCATCCCCAGCAATCTGGCTCCGGAGCCAGAGCCCTCAGAGCTGCTCTGGGACGGCTCCCACGGTTTAGGGGAAGGGGGAGATGAAAGTTGCCGCAAACTGATGGGTCCCTGTGGCTACACCCTGACAATCAGGTCAGCAGCACCGGCCAAAAAGCTTTGACAGAGCAGGGAAGGATGCCCTGCATGCCACAGCCCAGCGGGACCGGTCATGGTCCTGTCCTGGGGCCAGCATGGGGCCAGCTGGTGGCTCCAGGGAAGGGCTTCCCTTTGGTGGCCCTTGGGGACAGACACGTGCCGGCTGCCGTGTCCCCAGCCGTCACCGCTGGTTTCACTCCAGGTCCGAGTCAGCAGCGTGGGTGGCAGGCGCGGGCCACGAGCTTGGCTTTGCAGCCAACTCTTGTAGGTGGCTGGTCGGTGGACCAGCTCCATCGCTGCAGTAAAGCTGCGGCAGCCTGATTTTGTGCCAGAAAAAAGCCCTTTTCCCACCAGAAGGGAGTCTGCACGCAGAGCCTACCATACCCACCCTTCGCCTGCCCACCACCCCCCATCTTCCCCTTCGTTCCATTCCCAGCGAGCTCCCCAAAGCCTCCGAACCCTGAAACCCAGCACACAAGCAGCAGTGAGGCATGGCGGAGGGGCAGAGCCCCGGGGCGCCCAGTCCCAGCGTGGGTGCCCAGCCCCAGCAGGACACAGCTATA